CAGCAAACTCCATTAGCATAGTAAGCAATTTGAAAAAAGGATTGGCTGCCTGCAATGGAAAAAGATAAAATATGCATTTTGATCAATTTTAGTCAACTCAAAAATACTTCCGTAAATATCTATTTTAAACCAAATACTTGCATAAAAATATTTGAAAACAGTCCACATTCAGAAAAAAATTAGTAGGGTTGTTGATTAATTGCAGTTACACATCTGATACACTAAAAAAAATTATGTGTAATTAATTGCAATTTTAATCATACTGTTAAATAACAGAATATTAATTGAAATTTTATTAAATATTTTAAATGTTTAACTGCATTTTAAAATATATTGATCTCAATTAGCACACTACATACAAAATGTACAATGCTCACTTATCATTTTACAGTGAAAATATGCGTAAAAATTAATATAAATAAACAGTATTTTTTAATTGACCTCAAACAAGTACAGTACTGAAATCTCTTTCTAGTGAAACTGCAATTTACAAATGTACATTTTTGTTACATCACTGCATTCAAAAACAAAACAATGTAAAACTTTTGTGCCTATAAATCTACTCGGTTCTTCTTGTTCAGCCAATTACTATGAGAAATAAGTTTGTTTAAATTTACAATGTCACCTGAAAATGAGAACAGTCATTTGTGTGGCACTTGTGAAGCTGGCATTGCAAGGTAGTTACATGCCATATATATGTGAAACATTCACGTGTGTTTTCTGGAAAGGTGGCCAAAGCATGAAGACGTGCTTCCATGCTGATGCTCATTAAAAAAAACAATGCCTTACATTTGTGAATGCACTCCTTGGGGGAGAACTGTATGTTTCCTGCTGTTTACTTGCATTCTGCCATATCGGTTAGGTTAGATAGACATCTGTCAGAGATGGTGTAGACGGAGCTTGGTCCTGCCTTAAGGGCGGGGGGGCTGGACTCGATGACCTTTCGAGGTCCCTTCCAGTCCTATGATTCTATGATATTTCATATGATAGCAATCTTGGATGATGACTTAGCACATGTTCATTTTAAGAAAACTTTCACTGAAGATTTGATAAAATGAAAAGAAGGTACCAATGTGAAATTTCTAAAGATAACACCACCACTCAATCCAAGGTTTAAGAATCTGAAGTGCCTTCCAAAAATCTGAAGGGAACGAAGTGTGAAGCATGCTTTCAGAAGTCCTAAAAGTGCAACACACAAATGGGCAAACAAGAGAACCCGGACCACCAAAAAGAAATATCAACCTTCTGCTGATGGCATCTGACTCAGAACAAGAAAATGAACATGCCTCGGTCTACACTGCTTTGGATAGTTATCCAGCAGAAACCATCATCAGCCTGGGTGAGCACTGGAATGGTGGTTGAAGCATTAAAGGGACATATGAATCTTTTGTGTATCTGGCACGTAAATACCTTGCTACACTGGCTACAACAGAGACATGTGAATGCCTGTTCTCAGTTTCAGATGACACTGCAATCAAGAAGAGGCAGCATTATCTCCTGCAAACGTAAACAAACTTGTTTGTCCAAGGAATTATCTGTACAAGGAGCAGGACAGAATGGACTTTCAAGGCTCTTACGTTTTACAAATTGTTTTATTTCTGAATGCAGTTTTTTTTGTATATAATTCTACATTTGTAAATTCAACTTTCATAATAAAGAGATTGCACTACAGTACTTATAGTTAGGTAAACTGAAAAATACTATTTTATTTTATACAGTGCAAATACTCTTAATTAAAATATAAAGTGAGCATTGTGCATTCTGTATTCTGTGTAGTAACTGATATCAACATATTTGAAAATTTTAAAAACACCCAAAATATTTAAATTAATGTTTTTCCGTTATTAACGTGTAATTAAGTGCATGATTAACAATGATAAATTGCTTTAATCACCTGACAATGCTAATTTTATTAAGCTTTGACCTATGTCTAGCTGCAAACTGTTAAATATTCATGCACGTATAGTAAAACTAACACTTATATTCTTTGTATGTTGCAATAAGTAAGATGCAACAAGTAATGATCATATAGGGGCAGGGACAATCATCAGGCAGAACCATGGGCCAAAGACCACCAAACACTTCTGAACAGACCCCAAAATCTTTTTATTTACTTGTTGTTATAATTTTTTATTAATTCTTTTCACTGACATCTGGACCTTGACCATTGCTTGGTCAAGAAATTTGGACTTGTCTAGAAAAATGATTACCTCTGTATTAGAGGGATATTAGTACCACAGCATCATTCACCAGGACAGGATAATTAGAGCCCAGTGCGGATACAAAATTTTGTATCCACATCTGCAAAACAGATTTGCGAATATCCACATCTGTGAACGTGGATACCCATGGATATAAAGCAGATATCCGTGAATTTACAGGACTCTAAAGACAATGTGATAATAGAATTGTAACACTGGAAGGAACTTCAAGAAGTCATCTAGTCCAGTCCCCTACAGAGTAGAGCAGAATTACTTCTCATGTCTTGCTTACAAAACTCCTGCTAAAAAATCCCAGAATGATGTTGGCTTTTTCCCCCCCAACAGTGTTGCACTGCTGACTCATATTTAGTTTGTGGTTTATCATGACCCCCTACCTCCTTTTCTATGGTACTCCTTCCAAGGCAGTCATTTCCCACTTTGTATGTTTGCAAGAGATTGTTCCTTCCTAAGTGGAGAACTTTTCATTTGTCCATTTGTCCAGGCATTTTAAATTATAATCCTATATTCAAAAGCACTTGCAACTCTCTGCCAGCTTGGTATCATCTGCAAACTTCATAAGCGTACTCTCTCTATGCCATTATCCAACTCACTAATGAAGATATGAAACAGAACTGGACCCAGAACAGATCCCTGCAAAATGCCACTCATGCCCTTCCAGTATAACTATGAACCATTGGTAACTACCTCCTGGGAAGGGTTATCCAATGAGTTATGCATCCACCTTCTCCATCTAGGTTATATTTCCTTAGTTTGTTAATGAGAAGGTGATGCGAGATTGTATTAAAAGCCTTACTAAAGTCTAGACATACCATAGCTAATGTTTTCCCTTATCCACAAGGATTGCTGACTTATCAAAGAAATCTATCTGGTTGGTTTGACATGATTTATTCATGACACATTCATACAGATCATTACTGATCACACATTTGACAGCTTGGACATTCTTTTCAGTACAGGGTAGTGAGACACTTGCACATTGCTGGATAATAGACAAATACAGTGCATTGTAAAATAGATGGTATTACTCACACTATAAAATCATCATATTACTTTATTTGCATGATGGGAAACATTTTCAAAGGTGTCTGTCTCAGGAACCCAAAACCTTGACAATTTTACCCAAACCCAATCAATCATTTTTTAATCAAGATTCAAACTGATCATTAACTTAGAGTTACCTCTGAAAGTACCCAAACATTTGTAACCTATCATATTGGCTCTGATTTAATTTTTTTTAAGTTTTCTAAAACTTAACTAAATATTGTAATTTTTGGCTGTCAAAAGATTATTTTAGTATTTAAAACAGAAAAAGATTAAGAAATGATTGAGTAAATAAGTAGTTTCTTGACATACCTCAGGAGTCAACTTTGCTATAGATGTGAAAAGCATAGACACAATCTTAAAAACAAAAAGAAACAAAAACATTGTTACACTAATGTTTGCTCAGTTATAATTAGGGATGTCAAAGTATAAACAAGTTAACCTTCTCAATTACACACAAGGGACTACTTCCCCTGTTGCCTCTGTCAGGCGGAGGGGGTAGGTGGGAACCAGCTTTTCTATCTGCCCCCTTGCACTGCTGCCTCTGTATCAGAAGCGGCAGTGCAGAAGGGCAGGGAGGGAGCAACATGGTGGGGGGCGGGAGCAGCAGACAGCTCCGTAGGAGCCGCTCCCATGAGCACCTGCTCTTGCCTGCCCTCCCACCACACTGCTGACACTAATATAGAGGCAACGGTGGTGGGGAGCTGACAGCTCCCCCCATGCACTGGCTCCTGCAGAACCACCTTCCCCCATCCTAGTGTGTAAATGTATAGCTGCTAAAAATTTCAGAAAGTACACATTTACCAAAATAAATTAATTTTAACATCTCTAACTATAATACTAAATTGCCCCAGTGTACTTTTCAGATAATCTCTCTCAAAAAATATCAGCAGCAGGGGTTGGTACTTACGTGTTCGGCAAGTCGATTATTGTACCGACAAAGGCTGAAAATGAGATTGCAGGTTTGCCTGATATTGATGCCATCACGGATATGTTGAAACAAGAAAGGAAAACCCTGCAACAAGCACCAAGGCATTATTACATCTGACAACTTTTAATGAATCTTTTTTCAAGATAGTTGGTTGTACTTTCTAATTTATAAGTATTACCTTCCCTCCTGTTAATGCTGCCATGTCATTCTGTGACAAAGTCAAGTGCCTATAATACAACAAAATATATATCGCTTTAGTAAAGAAACCATGAAACTGAATTTATGAACTGAGTATGTTCCTCTCTACTATAAATTTTAGTGTTTATAAGTAGTGAAAAAAATTCATTAAATTAAAGCTGCTTCAGATTGAAACTCTGAAATCCAGGACTCTGGTTTGGCAACATCCTTAGACCGGCAAGACAACAGATGTTGCTGGATTAGACAGCCTCGGAGAGTGAATCAGCTGGGAGCCCTAACCCCTGGGAGCTGCGGCCACCAAGACAGCAGCAGCAAAAGCAGAGCAGCTGGCAAGGGATCCTTGAGAGAGCGCAGCAGAAGCAAGCCCAGTAAACCCCATCCCCGGGGAGTCCTGGCTGGGCAGAGGAGAAGGGGGTCACTGTAGCTGGGGAACTCCGTCCCCAGGAAGCCCCAGTGGGCTGGAGCCCAAGTCCAAGCCCTGCAGGCAGAAGGTCAGTGGCAGTGGGGCCGGAGCAGAGGCAGCTGCTGAGAAGCTGTTGGCAGGGGACCTTCCCATATCCGGCAAATACCCTCATTTGGAACGGGTCAGGTCCTGAGGTTGCTGGATAAGGGAGGTCCTCCTGTACTATAATTTAACATTCTACATAGTTAAAAAGTAGGCCCATGAAATGATTGCTCAATGATCTTACTAGGAACTTCAGTCATTTGGTCAGCCAAGAAATTAATGTTAACCTATAGAACTCCTTTGCCAGAGGAGGTTGTGAAGGCCAGAACTTTTAGCAGGTTTCAAAAAATAACTAGATAAATTCATGGAGGATAGGTCCATCAATGGCTATTTGCTAGGATGGACTAGAATGGTGTTCTTAGCGTCTGTCAAAAGCTGGGACTGGGCAACAGAGAATGGATCATTTGATGATTACCTATTCTGTTCATTCCCTCTGAGGGCACCTGGCATTGGCCACTGTCAGGATACTGGGCTAGATGGACCTTTGGTCTGACCAAGTATGACCATTCCTATCGTTAAAAATGCCTAAACACACTGCGTCAAGTACAATCTCAGTCACCCCAGTGTAAAAACAGAGTAACTTCCGATTGACACAGTATAACCAAAATCAGAATCTTTTCCTTGGAAGTTCTTGCCTTTCTGAGCGAGACTGTTCAACCAGAAGAGCAATCAGGGCAATCATCTTTTCAAGTGCAGCAGGCCTGTATTTTTCTTCTGCTAAGGAAAGAATGTCTTCCTCCTCCTCCTCCTCTTCTCCTTCCTCTTCAGACAGCACTTCAACTTGTGGCTGGAAAAATGGGGGGAGGGAAACCATAAACTCAGTAACAAAGACTTCTAATTTCTCTCTCAATTTTGAGCATTCCAAACAGCCTAATTTGATAGAACAAAGCAATTCAGACAGGCTGCTCATGCTATTCAGACATGCTAATCATCTGCTTTCCATTTTCAAATATTTGGATGTGAAAAATACACAGTACAAATTCAACAGCTGGGTTGAGGTCACCCTATTTAACAATTTATGATAATTAAATTACTTGCTAAGAAATTTCAAGCAAGTTTAGAAGTGTACATCTTAGCTGATAGTTTACATGATACAAATTGTTGTCGTAAAAGACAATATTACTGCCAGTCTCAGCAGAAAAGCCAAGGACTAAATGGGTATGAAAACTGACCTAGGACATTCTACATTAGCATTGAAGCACACTGATTGGACAATATAAGGAACCTGAATGTCTGCTGTTAATTCTATCCTAAAGAGAAAACTTCAGTATACAGCATAATCAAACAAGCATTTTTCAGAAACACAACATTCACATGAAATTAACTTATTTATTTTTTTAAATGAAACAATTTACCAAACAGTTTACTGAATATTTACTGATTATTATGTGTTGGCTGGCAAATCAAGAAAAGAAGCAAAAGGATTACTTAGTCTAAAATATGAAAAAAAATATTTTTTTTTTAAAAAGCTATTTTAAACTTACGTTTTCGGGTCCTTTAGTTCCCATGTAAAAATGAACCATTGTTGATATGGCTTGCAATGAAAGCAAGAACTGGCTCTGAAAATGTAAGTATTGAATTATTTGAATAATATACATACTTACATTTATATATACATACAATTTCTTAAGCTACAAAAGCAATATTCACCTCTTCTTCTCCCATTTTGGCAAATTCATAAAGAAAGGCAAAGTACTCTGTGAGATGTTTACTGTGAGGCTTTACACCATGCTCCATAATTGACAAGAGTGTCTTCACGAAGCGAGTTACACATGAACGACTACCAATATCTTCCACGGGACCATCCATGTCATCTGAACTGAAAACACAGTTCAATTTAGAAAGTTGATATAGTATGTTAAACTTGCATTAGACACAACGATCTCGAACCTGCCCAAATAGAATTCAACTAACTTATGTTCATATATTCCATTCTTACTGTAAAGACTCAAAGCTATAAACACTCTACCAGCTATGATAAATATACTATGGATGACAATTATACATCACAATATAATAACACGAATTATAAATGGCGCCCAACACTGAAATACTTCTCAATATTATGAGGGTGAAAATAAATTTATTAAAGCATGGTTATAGTCAGAAGAGGAATTTTATAAAAAAGCATAATAGGATTTCATATTTAGTCTCATCTCTGATATCCATGTCAAATGTTCTCAGTTATCAGATCAGATGATGATTACTATTCAGGTATCTTATGGTGTAATTTGGAAATATGAATTGTGTCCAGCAGATACATTTACCTATATTTTAGGTGTTTTAGACAAATGATAGAGATACAGGTACCAGGAAAAAAAGGTGTCAATCATGCTTAGAAAATTTCTCGTTTGTCTTGTTTATCAAATATTTTGTTTTATACTTAAAAAATGAGCTGAATCCTTTCTCTTCTATCCCCAGAATGTACTCTTCCTGAATAATGTCTAGCTATAAGCAGCCTGACATACTAACTCAATTTTCTAGCACCTTCTACTTCTTTTCACTAGGGATGTAAAATCCCGGTTAATCATGAGGAAGAGGGACAGACAGCAAAGGCTGGCAGCCCCAAGTGTGGGTAGGTGTAGGTGGCTTCTGCTGGCAGCTGCCCTACGCTTAGGGCTGCTGGCTTCCTCCCTCCCCCCATGCTTGGGGGCTGCCACTGCTGGACTTCCCCCCACACTTAGTGCTGTCGGCAGCAGGAGCTAGCAGCCCGAGTAGGGTGGCTGTCTTCTCCAGCTTCTGCTCCCAATAGGGCTGCTCTTGAATACCAGGTACACAGTTACCTTTTCACATGCTTACTTCTCACACCCTTCCCAAGGAGACAAATAGACACATTGCTTGTTCATTTTCTTCAGATACATTTTTAGCTTCAGTAGTTATGCCATCACTATTACCAAGAGAAACTGTCGATATTGTGCCATAGTACCTGAGCCAATTTTGCTTCTTTTGGAAAACAAAGTTTCAGAAAGGGCCATGTTTCCTGAAATTACTTATGGGTGCTAAGGAGAGAACAGGAATCTCATATTTTGGGAAAGAGGAAGTGGCTTTCCACACCTACATGACACTATGATACTGCTTGAGGTACCAGGTGTCTTTATCCTTCTCACAGCAACCTGGTCTTAATGAAGTCTTTTAGTAGCAGTAGAGCCTATCTTTCAGCTCTAGTGGTGAAATTTTAAGCTCAACACCCTTTGTAAAGCAAAGTATGGTGATAAAATTCCAGAATCTTGCAGAGGAGAGAGAGATTATAGAAGAATCTTCACCAATACCTCATGGGGGGGGGGGTCTGAGAGGGGATTGGATAGCAGCCTTCAATTTCCTGAAGGGAGGTTCCAAAGAGGATGGAGAGAGGCTGTTTTCATTAATGACAGATGGCAGAACAAGGAGCAATGGTCTCAAGTTACAGTGGGGGAGGTCTAGGTTGGATATTAGAAAAAATTATTTCATTAGGAAGGAGGTGAAGTACTGGAGTGGGTACCTAGGGAGGTGGTGGAATCTCCATCCCTAGAGGTTTTTAAGTCCCAGCTTGACAAAGTCTAGGATGAGATGATTTAGTTGAGATTGGTCCTGCTTTGGGCAGAGGGCTGGACTCGATAACCTCCTGAGGTCTCTTCCAGCCCTAGGATTCCCACCCACAGTGCACACCTGCCTACTGTGAGGAGGAGCTGCTCTAGCCCCCTCTTGTTAACAAAAACCAGTAAGGGTGATGCTTACCAGTTAACCATTCACATCCCCAACCTTTACATCTCCACTCCACAAGGAAGAGGAAAGGTCAAGAACTTTCACACACCACAAAAGGAAAATGCTATTACATTTACTCCATGATGATGTAATTTCTCTGACCTCACTGAGGGTAACAGAGAAAATTCAGAGATGACTGCTGGAATCTGCAAAGAGCTTTAAACAGCCCACAGAGGTATGAACTATCCCATTCATCCAAACTGAGTGTGTTAATTCAGACCCCCAAAGATGGTAATTTAAAATGTTGGTATTATTAAATATTTCAGAGCTGCCCAAACATTTAAGAAAGAGGTCAATAGATCTATTCTAACTGCTGTGAGCATCGGATCGTGACCGACAAAGCCTGGCTCCCCTCTGCGATGAATTTGGCTGGCTACTAGATTGATCCAGACTCTGGACACATAACTTACTTCTTCAACATTGTCAAGCTCCTAAACAATCCACATATCCTTTGTCCTATGTGGATTCTGAAGAACTTGTGGTTCTCCAGATTGTTTCACTAAGTCATATACCCCACAGATCCATACCCTGATCCCTTTCTTTGACACTCGTCTTGAAGAAATAATTTGCTACAGAGCTTCAGATTACTTTTATCTGACCCATAGTTTCCGCTGACCTAATAAGGTCAGCCACAGGCCTTGTGGAATTTAGAAGGTCTGCAGGGAAGTAAAACTGGAAGAGACAGAAGAATCAGAGTTTAGAACTTAGAAAAGGGAGGTAAAGGAGTACAAAGGAACTGATTCACAGAGGCTCAGTGCAGAATTGAGCCAGAGATTACATGGGTTCCTAAACTCCACAGTGTTTCCTGTCCCTCTGTCCTGTGGCTTCCAGTACTCTATAGAGCTCCTACCATCGTTGCTCTCTTGGGCCCACAGAGCCATGAAATTAAGAAGCTCTGCAACTTATCTTCTTCCATGTCTTCCAATTAAGATCAAAACATTAATAAAAAATTTTAAAAACCCAAGAAATTCCAAGACAAAATCTTTTTGTTACACAAAAAATAAGCGGCAACTTAGAGAATTCAAAGTTAAACTAAAAATCATCTGAAATATTAAAATATATTTAAAAGCACAGATAAAACAACATTAACTCTTGTCCATAGTGATGCCCAGAGGAAAAAAAACCCTTATTCACACAAAACATAACATTTTGTCTCATTAGTGAGTACAAAAACTAGGGTATTCTCTCAACATAAAGCCCTAAAAGAAAATAAACTTCTATTTTCTGCTCCGAAAATTGTATATTAAAAGCTATCCCATATTGCAAGCACCTTTGGCAACACAGTGAATTATATTAGTACTGCAAACTGAGCCCAATGCACGAAAATTCAGCTATTTGCTTTTTCAGAGTCCCATATTACAAGCAGCAATGAACGTTCTAAAATTAGAAATGAAGTAAAAACTTTGCTGATGATTAGTAAAAAGCACAACAGAACCTAGCAAGTTCTTCCACTGCTATAAGAGCTTTGTAATGCTAAACAGTATTACAGCTACAGGCACTCCCCGACTTACTAACATACCGACTTATGACCATCTGTACTTACGACCAACCTCCCATGAATCCCATTATAATATTTGAGTTGAGAACCAAGTTTTTCAAACAGCACGGGCAGCGCGTTTAAGGGTATTTCCAAAGTACGACCAAATCAAGTTACAACCAGGTGTTCGGAACGTAACCTGTTCGTAAGTCAGGGACTGCCTGTAAAAGTTTGGTCTGTCGGTGTGTCTGTTTGTGTCTATTTGTCTCCCAGCTGGGGGCCATGCGACCCTCTGCAGCAGCCATGGACAAGTGCTTTTCACCTGGCTCCAAACAGTTGGGGTGAGAGAGGGATGGGGTTGCCCTCTCTGCCCAGGGAAGCCTGCATACTGAATCTCTCATTCCAGCCCCACCCATCTAGCCCTGTATCCTGTCTGCCGACAGTGGCCAGCACCAGGTGCCCCAGAGAGGGTGGACCGAAGACAATGATCAAGCGATTTGTTTCCTGCCATCCCTCTCCAGCCTCTGACAAACAAAGGCCAAGGACACCATTTTATCCCCTGGCTAATAGCCTTTTATGGATCTAACCTCCATGAAATGATCTAGCTTCTCTTTCAACTCTATTATAGTCCTAGCCTTCACAGCCTCCTCTGGCAAGGAGTTCCACAGGTTGACTACACGCTGTGTGAAGAAGAACTTTCTTTTATTAGTTTTAAACCTGCTACCCATTAATTTCATTTGGTGTCCTCTAGTTCTTCTATTTAGGGAACTAATAAATAAGGGTATGTCTACACTACCACCCTAGTTCGAACTAGGGTGGTAATGTAGTCAACCGGAGTTGCAAATGAAGCCCGGGATTTGAATTTCCCGGGCTTCATTTGCATGTTGCCAGGCGCCACCATTTTTAAACGTCCGCTAGTTTGGACTCCGTGCCCTGCGGCTACACGCGGCACGAACTAGGTAGTTCGGACTAGGCTTCCTATTCCGAACTACCGTGACTCCTAGTTTGAACGTGGAAATTTGAATTTCCCGGGCTTCATTTGCAACTCCGGTTGACTACATTACTACCCTAGTTCGAACTAGGGTGGTAGTGTAGACAAACCCTAACTTTTCTTTATCGGCCCTCTTCACACCACTCATGATTTTATAGACCTCTATCATATCCCCCCTCAGTCTCCTCTTTTCTAAACTGAAAAGTCCCAGTCTCTTTAATGAAGAAAAAATCAAACTTATTTGAGCCAAGGACCCGAGCAACACCGGGTAAATTTTCTAGTTTAAGATAATTTAATAAGCAAATCTTTGACATAGATAAAGCACATTTAATTAAAAATAAGAAAATATTTTACCAGTCTTCCATTCCTGGTTGCAGATACAGATGTGCATGCACTGGTCTGAGTCTCTGTATCACATGAATACATAAGCGCTGGAACATCTGAAAAAGGATGAGTTATAAAATACTTATTTTGTTCATTTGTTTAAATGTGTGTGTATAGTACAGCATGTCCAGATTCCAAAACCCTATATGCCCCAGTACTACATTTTCAAAATTACTGTAAAGATTGAGATGGTAATAAATACTCTAATTGCTGTCATGTTTCAGTATCAATCTCTAATGTGACAGTCAAACTTGATTTTAACGAACACACTTCATAGCAGGTACCTAGATATGGTCTTACTATTACTTTGTATTACAATGAAGTCGGCACCTGACAATGCTTGTCATAAAGGTTACACAATAGTGTAGATAGAGGAGGTGGCAGTGTGGGGTGGGGGAAGGAGGGCAGGCAACACTGTGGAACCGGTGAGCACTGGCTACTGTCTGCCCCTCCCCCAACTGCCTCCATAGAAAGCAGCAAGGCGGATCAGGCGGGTCCACAGAGCCGGCATGCATGAAGAGACAGCTTAAAAGCTGGCTCCCTGCATGCATCAGCTCCTGCCTGCCCCCTCTCACCTCCATATTGCTGCTGCTCTATAAATTTCCACAAATCATAAATAAGGATGAAGCAAGAAATGACAGCTATATGCACCAATGTGAACTGTCAAGATTATTGTACAATTAGTTTAGATTATTGTACAATAAACCATTTTTGCTTATAGATCAAATAGGCATTTTTTGTATAAAAGTATGTTTTTCTTACCTGCCTCACAATTTGATTGGGACACTTGATTAGAATCTGCATTGGCCACCAATCGTCATCAGCCATCCGATCTAAAAACCACTGCATAAAATACATATTATATATTCTTTATTGCACATTCTAAATTAATGGTCATACTGTATTATTCTTTTGTCTTAGTCATACTTTAATATGCTATTAAAATTTAGAAGGCTATTATTATTATTATTATTATTATTAAAACAGAAAATGCAAGTCCAAGAGAAGTCTGAAAATTCTTTTGTCCTTGGGGAATGAAGAAAGAGAGAAAACAGTAACAATAAATATGAGTTTTCATGTATTAGCATTAATATCCTTTATTCCAGGACTTCTAAGGTTTCAGATCCAGAGAAGCCCTCCCTTTTTCAGAAGGGTGCTTAAGGATTGGGTCTACCTTAAATATGCAATTAAATCCCATCTAAGTCAGTGAGACTTATGTTTATATTTAAGATTAAGCACACACTGAAGTGCTTTGCAGAAGACTGACTCCTAGGTGATTCCTCAATCAGTGCCTAAATACTTTTTAAAGGTGAGTAAGCATTATCTCTATTTTACATTTGGAGAGTCACTGTGAGATTAAATGGCTTACCCGAGTCAGATGTTGAGATGCCATTGGGAGTAGAACTGAGGCCTCCTGACTCACAGAATTATGGTCTAGTCACTAAACCATGTTACCACTTTAGAATGAACAATTCACAAGTTCTTATTTTTTTTCTTGGTTTAATACTATTTTAGCATGTTGTTCTGTCCTTTCCATCCATGTGGCAACATTATTTGGACATACCTTCATCTTAAGACTGCAACCTCTTTCTCCCAGCTTGTTCCTTGCCCATGTTTTTTGTCTGTGCTAAAATCATCTTCCTTCCACAAAACTCCTACTACCTCACTCCATTCTTCCCCACCTTTACTCTGGCTCCCCACATCAAGTTCAAGCCTTCATCTTCACCAGAAAGGCTGTATAGGAGTTTGCTCTTGCCTAGCTCTCTACTCTTACTTCTTCTTACTCCCTTTCTTACCCTCTTCATTCTACCCCAGCCTCCTGTGTTACTGCTCCTTTTGTTCTTTTTCCTTGTTTTCATGCATTCTTCCATGTTGTGCGTTATGCATGAGATTCCGTTCTCACATCTACTATGCAAGTGATCAACCTCACTTCACATAAACTACTCTACAAAACCTATCAATATTAAACAAACAGCCCAAGAGGACAACTGTGCCTACTACTAAAGACATAAAAGACTTTGCTCTGTGACCTGCCTACAAGGTCACCAGATGAGGAGGCAGTGTCATCCACTTAGTTTCTGTAGGGGTATGTCTAGACCAGTGGTCCCCAACGCGGTGCCCGCGGGCGCCATGGCGCCCGCCGGGGCATTTGTGTGCGCCCGCTGACAACCTGGGCCGGCTCTGCCCCCGGCGCGTGGCGCACTGGAGGCGCCGGCCCCAGGCACATGACACGCACCGGCGCCTGGTACGCGGCGCTCGGGTGGCCCCAGCCCTGGGGCACA